CGATAACAATGATGATGAAATTGGCCTTAACTCAATTTTTCCTGGAAATCGTCGTGTTTAATTCCTGATGGGCTAGCTGACCAGATTACATCTTTATCACCTCTCACTGGTGCCCGTCAGTATATACCGATAACATAGGTGGAGTTATCAAAAAATCATCCATTTCATCATTGTCATCCATTAAAAAAAGAGGTAATAATAACAATAATAATAAACTCTTTATTGCGCACAATAGAGATGTATACAAGGAGTATTTATACAGAATGTGCATATACAAAAGGCGGCCTTATCGCTAAAAGCAATTTCTTACAGACAACCTGGCATAAAGAATGGATAAGTACAGAGAGAAAGGTAGATGGCGCTAGTCAGACACAGTGAATACAAAAAAAGTAACCAAATAAAAAACATATTATTCTAAATATCATTTATATAAAACGGTGAAGTAAACGAATGTATGTGTATTTTTAATGGATAGTTACAATCTTAATTTAAAAAGGGTATATTAAGCTTTCTTCTGGGTCGGCGACGCGCACGTGACACCCCTAGTGTTGCAGGCGTCTATAGGCTACAGTGACCGTTTACAATCAGACAAGCTATTTGCTTGTTTGTGACTTTCGTGTGTTAAAACGAAACTCCTTCGCAAATGGAGAGGGACCGTTAGCCTTTATTGCTAGCAATATAGACTGTATTATATAAAAAAAAACGCAGCTTATATATTTTTGTCACGTGTCTAAGTCTAAATAACTTCATCACAGGAGACCACAAAAATGTCTATGGTAGTACACATAAACGTTGTAATAATCTGACCTCTGCTTGTCACATATGTCTGTGTCTCTATTTGAAGGGAATAATAACTATTACAACGCTCAGTATGTCTATACTAAGCCGCCCGCGTGAATTTAATGAAAAACCCGTAATAAAAGTATTTTTATAACGAGTTTTTCATTAAAGTTTTTCACTAAATTTTCAAAGTGAAAAATATAATGTATGAGCATAAAGTTTACTAGTATATATTTATATTTTTGTATAATATTATAGGAAATAAGCAAGAAAATTAATAAATATAAAGATACAATTGTATAAGTACAGTAAGGCGGTACGGACGAACGTACAAATGTGGGCCGAGGCGTAGTATATATTTATATTTTTCGTGAGTCCATCAATTAGTTGTGGCCAAGGCTTGTATATACTTTTCTCAAACAATGCGCGGAAATCAAAAACACAATTTTACTTTTTAAGTTCGATGACGAATAACGAACACTATTAATTGTTCACGCGCCATAATGTTTCTTTGTTTTTTTTTTTCAAATAACAGCTTTCTATTTGCAAGCCAGTTCGAAATTTTAATAAAACCTTTAGTTACCTCCTTGGTAGTCATGTTTCGAAGTAAAAGGTCATTCCATTTTTAAATTACAGGACAGATATGAGTTTACATAGTAATTTATCTTTTTTTTTTTACAACGCAGGGGGCAAACGAGTATGCGGCTCACCTGATGGTAAGTGACTACCGCCGCAAAATACGACAGATATAGATTTTCATACAAATTTTGCCGGACGGTGCCCGCATGTATCTGGCCAGTACGGCAATTTTGATTTATCTCGAAGAAGATATATAATGCTATATATATATATATATATATATATAGCACAAAACATTAATGGAAATAATTATAAATACTTATTATATATATATATATATATATATATATATATATATATATAACCCTATATATACCTTATATGTACCTGTAATGTAATCGAATGTGATGAATGTATATAATTTTACTGTGCGTTGAAGTTTAAATAAACAAAATATAAAAAAAAATAGTAGATAGTTGCCGCCACATACCATTTTCCATCTGATAGGCCATACTATTGTTGTATAAATATACTGCCAAGCTACTTTAAATTCTCTTACATATCTGATATGGAATGAACTACTGCAATTTTCGTGATACCTATTTATACTCGTAATTTCGTTTACAAGTCACTATCTGACAAATAATTATTTACGTAAATTTATAATAAACAAGTGACTTGTTATCATATATACAAGAAACTCATCATGACTTTGATATTTCTTTACAGTTATATAGCAACAAAGAAAGAATTTTTTTTATTCAAGTAAACTTAAATTTAACAACAACGCTGACTTACAACAAAAATGTTGTAAGTCAGCTTCTCAAAAATAACAAAACTAATTCTAAATTTCAAATAGATGTGTGGTAGACAGACATACGAAGTCATGTGGTCTCGGTAATGTTACAACACCCCCATCACCACCACATAATCACACGATAATCATCATCAGTCTTTAACTGTCCACTGCTGAACATAAGCCTCCCCTTTGAAGGGTTTTGCCAATAGTTATTACGCTTGAAAGGCGGATTGGCAACCGCAGTTAGACATTAGAGATGTTTTAAGAGGGACACTGTAGCCTATCTTTCGCCCTGCTTTAGTTGCCTCTTACGACACCCTCGGGAAAGGAAGGGGTGGCCTATTCTATGCCGAAACCATACGGCAACACACACGGTACACACACTCGGTAATGGTAACAAATAATTTCTTTTACAAACTAAGAATGGAAGGACATGTGTTCAACCATGAGACCAGGTAAGCAGCAAAGATACGGTTACACTACCCAACCAAAAGGTAGTGATTTTTCGTTTAATCAAGGGCTTAAATGAATCATTTATTGAATATTAATTGAAATATTCATATATGAATTGTAACATAATACTAGACGCGTTCCATGGTTTTGTCTATGTAAATCAGCATGCATGTAAAGTATCCTATAAGTTAGGATATAGTCTATCCGTGTATTAAATTACATTCAAATCTATTCAGTAGTTTTTGCACGAAAGAGACAAACATCCATTCATTGATCCCCCATCCATCATTACAAACTTTAATACTTATGTAATACTAATAAAATACAGAGAGTAATCCAGGGCGTACCCAGCTTCTTTCCCAGCGGAGGGCGAGTCAGATTTATAGCGATAGTGGCGCTTGTTTACAGCGCAGTTTTTTCGAAAGTTAATGTATAATAAGGCATCCAACTTTCATGGAGGAGCAGCTGCCCTCCTCTGTTCCCCCTTCCCATGGATACAGTGGATATTGACCGGTATGTTAATCAAAATAGCATTATGATTCATGGGTTTTTAACCCCTCAGTGGTGTCAACGTCGAGTGGGCGTCAGATTGATTGCCGTTCCTGGTAATAGAATAAAATAATTTTCCAGAAACTAAAAATAAAACACTTCATTGAAAAGACTTCGGTTGTCTTTAAGAATCTAATATTTATTGCAGAGGGGAGAAAATTGTTAGTGATGGGTTCTCACAGCTCCACGTTGTTCCCCTTGGAAACCATCGTGGGTAAGTCTAGTTGAATTCGTCAGGATGGGCTCTGACCTGCTTTCATCCTCATCAATCATCTACCACTGGTGCCCCGCCAGTGTATACCGATAACGCAGACGGGGTTACCGTAATATTGTCTCCTATTAAAAAAATACTTATTGCTAGGAAGAGGAGATTGTTAGTAGTGGATTCTCACAACCCTATTGCTAGCAATACACTAACAATTCGACCTCCATGCGGTTCCCCCTAGAATATATTCTTGTCGCATTCTTCACGATGGGCTCACAGACTTGCCTTCATTTTTGCTTATCATCTATCGCTGGCGCCCCGTGAGCGTATAACGATAGCGCAGACGGGGTTACTATTCCATTTTCACCCTAAAAAATACTTGTGGCAATAGGGAACAGAGAGCAGCAGAATATTATTAATAGATGTATCTACCAATGGAAGCCAAGAAGAGAAAAGAGCCAAATTCTCTTTTTTTTTTCACTAAAAACTTAAATTCGACTGGGTTCAATTAAAACATTACCAAAGCCTGCGGTTGCCAACTCGCCTATCAAGCGTGGCAACTACTGGTAAAACCCAGCAATAGGGGAAGGCCTATGTTCAGCATGGGACAGTTAATGGCTGATATGATGATGATGATGACTCATGATGATCTTCATTGTTACTTTGTCATACTTATATGTGAAGTATTCCACGTTTGTTCCATGTTTTACTTTGCTAATAGAGACCTTTTTAAATAATTAGTCAGAATTATCCAAAAATGTTAAAATTTTATTCAAAATTGACAAATTATTGTGACCACACTTTGATAAGCAATATTTATGATAGCTCTTCATTAGAGCTTCCCGTACGGCAGCTAGACATGTCGTGTTTGTATGGAGGTCTCTCTCTTTTCATTTAAGAGTTTCCTCTTGTCAGTGCAACTAATTCATGCATTTTCTTCCAGCCAGCTCTATTCCAGGCCATATATTTGACCTCCCTATACGATATGACACCTAGTAGGGGAAGGAGATTGTTAGTAATGGAGTCACATAGCTTCATTATTGGCAGTATACTCTGCACAGGTCGGCTTCGACGTGGTTTCCCCTGGAAACCATCGTGGTTAATTGTAGTCGAATTCGTCAGGATGAGCTAACCGACCTGCTTTCATCCCTGTATGTCATCTTTTACTGGTGTTCTGCCAGATATGTAACTGCCAGATGGTTACTCGATTGTATATTGATAGCTCAGACGGAGTTACCATACCGTTATCACCTATTCAAAAAAACCTAGTGTTTCCTTTATCTATTCCTATAAGTTATTTCCAGGTCTTCCGTTCCTCTTTTGCCCTGTATTTTACCTTCTAGAAAAATCGTCATGTCGTATAAGGTGGCCTAGCATTCTGCCTCTTCTTTTCTCTGTTATTTTCATTATTGTTCTTTTTTCATTCACCCTTTTTAAGACTTCCTCTTTGGTTATTTTTTCTATCTAACTTATCCTTTCTGCTACCCGGTAAATTAAGTCACGTTTGAAAAAGTTGCTTTTTTTAAAAGCGAAATATTCGAATTTATACATAACATCAATGCTCCTGAGTTAATGTTTTCATTTCATTATCTTTTATCATTAAATTATTATAAACACAACTCGTTGTACGAATATAAAACAAATGACTGTATTAGGTAACGCTCAGTGTGCTGCGTGCCGTATTAAGCATAACTGGTGCTTGTAGTCGTCAACAGTTTAGTGTTAGTGAGTTAAATTCATTAATAAATGTAATTAAATTAGTAAGTTAATTAAAATATATATGAACCTTATTTAAATCTGATGATAATTTAAATTAATAAGGTAGTTTGAAATGACTCTCAAATGGAGTTGATTTTCAATTAATAGGATTTTTTTTTTATTATTTTTAATCGGTGATAATGGAATGGTGACCTTGTAGTATATATTGGCGGGACACCAGTGAGGATGAAACAAGTCAGTTAGTATATAATGTTGACTTCATTAGAACTTAACCACGATCGTTTCCAGTCGGAACCTGGAAATCAACCTGAGATAGTATATTGCTAGAAATCGCTTTAACTTGTATTATAATTGAAACTGTCGAACAAATTCGAATGAAATTTGATACACACAGTATATTTTTTTTATTTGAATTCACGCAGGCAAAGCTACGGTATTTATCCAGTTATTAAAATTAGACCACAATCTTTGCTAATTAGTTTAGTTCAGCTTATTTTTTTTTTTTTTATTATATTTTAGGTTCACTACTACAATAGAAGTGGTACCCCACATGGTACTAAACTTCATTATTTTTGTATGTACTTGCATTATAAATAATAAGATAAATATATAAATAATAATAATAATAATTTTTATCTGTTTATTGACGTAAATATAATTACTATGCCTACTAACAGATAGTTTTATTTTGTAAGTAGGTGTTTATTATCTATGTGCGTTTTTTTTTTTAATAATATAATAAAATACAACAATGTATTTTTCTATAAGTGAAAGAATTTAAAAAATGGTTTAGTATTTTTTTAGTACAAACAAAGAGAATATATTTCCATTTCATTATAGTAGTTTATATTTGGGCTAAATATTATTTTTTCATTATAGATTTGAATACACGGCTGTACACATGATGACCTTGGTGCGGTGACAGTTGTTTTTTTTATGAATGAAGATGGAATGGCATCTGTTTATGTACCAATGGCAGGCCAACAGTGGATACTAAAACGATGAGAACGAAGTCAAGCTAGTTAATTCATTGTGGACAATTTGCTAGGAATTAACCAAAATAGAGTCCGCGCGAAGGTCGATCTGTCGTAGAGTCAGAACAAAGGGAAGGAGAGATTGTTAGTAATTGGGATTAAGGGCCCTATTGCTAGCAGTATAGGGTATATTATTAGCATTGCAGGAGATTGATTTAACCTCCTCATCGTCCCCTCCCCCCTCCTAGTCTTAATTCCCCTAGAAACTATCATGGTTAATTTCTGATAAACTCTTCACGAATGAAGGACCAAATGCTGTCCTCTCATTAGCTTGTGGAGAGAAATGGACTGATTGGGACTTGATTAAAGGTGTCTAATAGCCCTAATGTAAGCAATATACCCTTACAGCTCGACCTCCACGCGGTTTCCCTTAGAAACCTCTTGAGTTCGTTACTTTAACTTGCTTTTATCTTCAAATCCATATGGGGTTACCATTCCATTATTATCCATTAATTATGGCTCATAACTAGGGTCCTTAAAAGAAATATGATTACTTTTCTTAGGTCATGTTGTACCTCATCTGGTTTGTGGTGATTATTGCGGCCTTGGTATTGTACCATCATCAGGTATACTCCAGGTTCGCTAAATATGAGGTGAAGCACTTCAATCCAGTCCCGATTTTGGGTAACATGATCCGAGTCATACTGCGCACTGAGCACTTCGCGAATGATCTCCAAAGATACTACGACCACTTTCCGGAGGAAAGGTTTGATTGTTTTTGTTTATAAAACATTTTTTTTTATTTTCATCATTGTTATCATACTAGCTTTTAACTGTCCATTGCTGAATATAGGCCTCCTCTATAAGGGGAGTTTTGCCAACAGTTGCGACGCTTGACAGACGGGTTTGCAATCGCAGTCAAGATTTTGGTGATCTTTTGAACGCCATTGGGCATCCACGATCATTAAGTTTCCTTCACAAATAAAGAATATTTGTAATTTAATTATTTTCATTCTGTATTCATGAGAGCAGGGGTTCCCAAACTTATTTTGTCTACTGCCCACTTTGAGAATAAATTATTTTTTAGCGCCTCCATTTTTCACTTACTTAAAAACCACTATTACTTTAAGATCAACAAATTACCCTCTTAAACCTCTACACAACGCCACCATTTTTTTTCTGGGTCTCTTACTGCCCCCCTTTAGACTTGTAGTGCCCCACATAACGCCCCCTTATCGCCCACTTTGGTAAAGGCTACATTAGTGCTTTTATTACGTGCTGTAGTTCTAATCGTAACAAACAATTTTAGATTTGTCGGACGATACGAGTTTGTGAAACCAACAATAATAGTGAAGGATCTAGACCTGGTGAAGAAGGTAACTATTAAGGACTTCGAGCATTTCTTAGATCACCGTACAATTGTTAACGAGAAAATAGAACCTGTCTTTGGAAGAAACTTACTGTCGTTGAAAGGTTAGTAATTGGAAAACAATTTCTCTGACCACCAAACAATCTCTCTACAGAGTATAAATTTTTTTAGTGGACAGAGAAGTAGTTTGGTTGTGCAATAGTATTACTCTGTATGTTAGATAAGATAGTTGAAATGAAAGCATGCTGTACTTGAATGGTTTACTGTGAAAGGAAAGCACCTTTTCCACTGTTAGTTTGGAACAGCCAACAAAATTGTGACTCCAATCGAAGGTCCTCACGAACATATCGTACATATTCTCACATTTTTTCGGTTAATAACTCGTATAGTAATGCAAACAAAAGACAAACACGAACACTCTGGTTATGGAATGAGCTCCCTGCCGAGGTTTTCCCAAGAGACTACAGCATGGGGTTCTTCAAAAGAGGGTAAAGAGGTTTCTTCAGGTTCGGCAACGCGCGATACCTCTGGTATTGCAGGCGTTCATAGGCTACGGTAACCGCTTACCATCAGGTGAGCCGTATGCTTGTTTGCCACCTCAGTTGTATAAAAAATAAAAAATAACACCTGAGTCCTCAGAAATGGAATAAAAAAAAACTCCTTTTAGTTCATTATTTACAATTTGTGTATTTACATTATTTTTAACTGTACCTTTCCTGCACTATTACCGCCAATTAATTATTTTCTCTCTAACTACACTGGGTTGGCTGGAAGAGATCTCTTTTAGAGATAAGTCCACCCTTGCTAACAAGTTGTAAAATAATCGCTGTATTTTTTGTACAAGTGCAATAAAGAATATATATACTCCTCTTTTAATACCATTATCTTTTTATTCGGGTTCAATTCCAATCGGGACAATTTGGCAAAACTTTTCTCAATTATTTCTGGTCTGGGCGTTTTGGGTTGTGCTCTATATGTTCTTTCTCTGGTTCGTCATATAACAGAGTAGCCTAGCTTTGAACACCCGGAGATTAGTGTGATTATGTCGCATTTACAATTCTAGCTGCTCTGGCCAACGTTATTTTGTCACATAAATTAGGGATAGGGACACTCTAATCACCTAGTAGTATGAAATATACTTAACAACCTATTCTCATATCTACCAAATATACATAAAAATCTATCAAGTAGTTTTGGAGAAGTGCGATCACAAATACCGTGACACGAGATATATATATATTTCAAAAAGTTTCTATCTCTTTTCTATCTCTCTCTTTCTAGCTCTCAATTTCTGTTTTTTTTATTTTTTTATTATTGTACAAAGGTCAAGAATGGAAGGATATGCGAGCAACTTTGAGTCCAGCGTTCACTAGTTCTAAAATGAGACTGATGGTGCCCTTTATGGTGGAAGTTGGAGATCAGATGATACAAGCTCTTAAGGCTAAAATCAGAGATTCAGGAAGTAAGTCTGGTTATTATTCTGTTAATAGTCATGATTGTCACCGCTTGTTAGGACTCATGCATCATATTGGTATCATTATTCCAGAGGGAGACTTTGTAAAAAAAAGTCGCTTTGGCACTTCTATCCTATTCGTGTTTTTACCATGAAGCAGCTGTTTGCATGGCTGCGTTTCGATTTGAAGAGTGGGATATGGCAGTAAATTTACAGGGTACAGAAGAATAACACCTGAGTCCTCGGGGATGGCAACGCATGGGGGTATCATGGGCGAAATAGTATACTCTATTATGTCCATGGCACTGCTCATGTCTATAGGCGATGGTTACCGCTTTCCATCAGGTGGGCCGTTAGGATCCTCTCCTCCCCCTCGTCCCAATTGTATTGTCAATAGTTGCCATGCTTGACAGGCGGACTGGCAAACTCAGTGAGACTTTGATGATGTTTTAAGAGTGATGCTGTTGCCCATCTCTCGAGCATTAAATTCGCTTAGTCGCCTCTTACATGATCCACGGGAAAGGGAGGGTCGGCCCATTTTATGCCGGAACCACGCAGTAAATAAATAAATATATTCTATGCTAACAGACAACTTCATTGATGTTGAGGCAAAAGATTTGACGACCCGGTACGCCAATGACGTCATCGCCTCCTGCGCCTTCGGACTGAAGGTAGACTCGCATATGCAAGAAAAGAACGAGTTCTACGAAAAGGGGAAGACTGCATCCGCTTTCGGATTCCGGCAAATGCTCATGTTTTTTCTTTTCATTTCCTTCCCAAGATTAATGTCGGTAAGTATTAAAAAATAATTCAAAATTATGTTCCATAAAAAATCAAACTAAATTACTAAAATATTTTTAATAAAACTTCTATGCGGCCAATCTGTAAGTACATATATATATACAAGTACATATAAGTACATAAAGGTAAGGACAATCTCGAACGAACATCGGGGAAAAGAATAGTCTCAAATAGTCAAAAATATATTGTAATTTAATTTAAATTCATCAACATCATGATCATCATGTTAACCGCTATCTGTCCACTGTTGAACATAAACCTCCCCCACAGACAGTCACAAAGAACTAACTTTTGTTACTACGACTTCAAAGAGGAGTTGAAAATCTCCTTTGAAAAGTCGATTGAAATACCAGTTAAAAATTATCCGAGGATAATGTTTTTAAACAGATTTTTTTTTGTTTGGTAACAATCAATAAATGCTTATTGGGCATTTAAAAACGTTTAAATTAAATAATTTATGGTGTTTTTATTTTTTTCATTTTAATAAAAAAGGGATAAAGGTATTAAGTAATCCTTTTGTTGCAAGGGAACTCTCTACGAACGTCAAGTGTAAGCTTTCGAGATTATTGGAAAAACTTTTACGTCTGTAATTATATAAAACGTACCTAAAACATAAGTCCGAGATAATTACGTATATTATATTCTACAAAAATATTGCTATTTTTTTATACAACTTAGAGTGGCAAACAAGCTGACGGCCCACCTGATGGAAAGTGGTAACCGTCACCTATAGACATCAGCAGTACCATGGACATAACAGAGTATACTGTTTCGCCCATGATACCCCCCATGCGTTGCCATTCCTGAGGACTCAGGTGTTATTCCTCTGTTTATTTAGTTATACCCTGTAAATTCACGCCATATCCCACCCTTCAAACCGAAACACAGCCATGCAAACAAAACTGCTTCACGGTTGAAACACGAATGGGACAGAGGTACCCAAGCAATCGACTTTTGTACAAAGTCTCCTTGTGGTAATTTGGTAATAGTAATTGGTAATGGTAATCCTCATCCCTAGTAATTTATAATTGTCCTTACAGAAACTAAAATTGACATTGTTCACCAAGGACACTACAAATTTCTTTATAAATTTAGTGCTTGGTACAATGACGAACAGGAAGACGCTTCATATTGTCAGACCAGATATGATACATCTACTGATGGAAGCTAAAAAAGGTAAGAATTAGTAATATATAATATTGCACTTGTAAGTTACATATAAAATAATGTATTTATAAATGTTGTAAGCAAGGGTGAACTTATCTCTGACAGAGATCTCTTCCAATCAACCCAGTACAGTAAGAAAGCATTTCGTTAGCGGGCAGCTGAAGTGCTACAACTATTAATACATAAACAAATATACAGTTAAATAAAATATTAAAATATATAATAAAATATTACATAAATACATACACTATAAATACATATAATACCTACCTACTTATATAATAAATATTAAAATAATTGAATATACTACTTACATTAGAAATTTAGTTTAATGATTTTAAGATTTGACAGTTCAATTAGAAAAATACAAAAAAAAAAAAAACATTACTCAAGGGAAAGAATATGTGATTTCAACCTTTTCTTGAAAGCGGTAATAGAGGGACTCTCTTTATGTGGGAAGGGAGTTTGTTCCATAACTGGACAGCTCGATACGAGAAAGAATTGCATATGAAATGTATCCTACACACAGGAAGTTCGAGCATCCTGGACTGAACTTGACAGGAGCGTTTAGGACGGACTGGTGTGAATTAAGGCATGGACTTTAAAAGAAACCTATGTTCCTAGCCGATATTATAGTTTTCTGTAGATAAAATATTTATAACTGTAGTTGCCAACTTGCCTGCTAAACGTGGCGACTACAGCTTAAACCCAGCAATAGGGGGAGGCCTGTGTTCAGCAGTGAATAGCTGAAGGCTGATATGGTGCTGATGATAGATACAATAACAAAATACCTATACTAAATTTATATAAGTAAAGTTATATAAGTATTTAATTTACAGGAAAATTGACATATGACGATAGGACGCTGCAAGACACTAACGCCGGGTTTGCAACTGTAGAGGAATCGACTCTAGGAAGAAAAGTTATTGACAAAGGTAAGAAATGTACTGATTAAGATATTTGTTGTCACAGATGTCGATTCATTCATTGCAATCATAGTTTTTAATAAGCAATCTGTATTCTATAATATTTCAACACTTTTACTATAAAACACAGTATTAAAAAAAAAAAAAAATTACAGTGTAAAAAAGGTTATGTATTGTCAAATAATAAACTATTGTGAGTCATACTGTATTCATATATGTCGGGTTAACTCATGCTTTAGATTAGTTTGTATATATATATATATATATATATGATATATATATATATATATATATATATATATATGTATATATATATATATATATATATATATATATATATATATATATATATATATATATATATATATATATATATATATATATATATATATATTATATATATATTCAGTTTTCGGATTCTATATTTTGGGACCGAAAGCATCAATAAATTTGTCGCATTTTTTTTTTAATGGAATGGTAACCCCGCCAGCGTTAACGGTATACGCTGGCGGGGCACCAGTGAGTGATAACAACTGAGAATGAAAAGGCAGCTCAGTTAGCCCATCGTGATGAATACATTTGGAATTCCAGATGAATAGAGTTTCCAGGGAAGACCACGTAGAGGTCGACCTGATAGGGTATATTGCTAGCAATCGGACTGATAGTCCGCATTACTAACAATCCCTTCCCCCCTGTCACAGTTTATTTAAAATTATTTTTATTTATAGCTATTATATTAATCGTGATTTTGTTTTATCCGAAAGTATGGTCCGACACTGACTTGGTAGCTCAAGCTGTTCTATTTCTGATCGCCGGCTTCGAGACTGTATCCTCAGCTATGACGTTCGCTCTGCACGAGCTGGCTCTCAACCCTGAAGTGCAAGAGAAACTAGTGCAGGAGATAAAGGAGAATAATATGAAAAACGACGGCAAATTTGATTATAAGTCGATTCAGAATATGGCATACATGGATATGGTAGTCTCAGGTAAATATACTATATTTCCTGTATGTATTATATTTATTTATTTATATAAACATATACATATACTCTTTATTGCACCAAAAATATAAAAATGAACAATGACTTTTTTTTATGGGTGAAAATGGAATGGTAATCCCGCCCGCGCTAACGGGATACGCTGGCGGAGCACCAGTGAAGGGTGATAGATGAGAATGAAAACAGGCCAACTGGCCTGTCATGATAAATTCATCAGGAATTAACCATGATAGTTTCCAGGGGGAACCGCGAGGAAGTCGACCTGGTTGGGTATATTGCTAACAATGGGATTCTCAGTCTCCATTACTAATAATCCCTTTCCCCCAACAATGACATTCAACTGAAATACAGTAGCATGGTGTACAATGAAGTACAGATCAAAACATACATATAAAGGTACAAAAGACGGTCTTATCGCTGGGGCAATCTCTTATAGACATTTTTTTTTATTTATTTATTCTAATGGACTACATTACAAAAAAAAAATGTCTGCTACAAAAAACTGACTTAATGCTACAGTTCTCTTTGGCAAAACAGAAATATAATTATGCGGTGAAAAATTGAAAATTGTTGTAGATAAACAATTAAACTTACGTATCGATATTGTATATGTCATTGTTATCTGTTATTATATATATGTTAATCATAACATATATAATGGAGAACTACCACACTTTTTTTATACAACTTAGAATGGCAAACAAGCTGACGGCCCACCTGATGGAAAGTGGCAACCCTCGCCTATAGACATGAGCAGTACCATGGACATAACTGAGTATACTGTTTTGCCCATTATACCCCCCATGCGTTGCCATTTCTAAAGACTCAGATGTTATTCCTCTGTACCCTGTAAATTCACGCCATATCCCACCTTTGAAACCGAAACACAACCATGCAAACATAACTGCTTCACGGTAGAAACACGAACGGGACAGAGGTACCCAAGTACATTATGATTATATTAAATATACATACATGAATACATTAAACAAATATTACTTTGCAGGTAAAAATGACTATAAAGCTTTATTTATTTTACAGAGGTACTTAGATTGTGGCCGCCTGCTGTCGGTCTTGACAGGATATGCACTAAAGACTACAACTTGGGCAAACCCAATAGCAAGGCAACCAAGGATTACATAGTAAGTTTATTCGTTTGTGCATTTTTGGAATTTGTTTATTCTATTCTAGTGGCAAACAAGCATACGGCCCGTCTGATGATAAATGGGGTTATTGTTGTTATTAAATTACTCTTTAAGGTGTTATAGTAGATACCTATCAAGTATTACGACACACCCTCAACGGCGATCGGATCGGACCACCTAGCATGACACAAGAAGGCGCGCTACCGAGAAAGACACCTGCGTCGAGTCAGCATTTCAATTCCCACAGCAAAAATACCCATTTCCTTTATGTTTGATTTGATATAACTTCACTTACGGATCACACATCGATCTGAAGACTCTTATTATTGTAATAATTAATTGTAGAATTAAATTTAGTTATATTTATAAAATTGGTTTTTTTTTTGGGTCTTCCGCCAGCCACTTCAGTAACTAAGGACGAAACGGATTTCGATCGAGTGATTTTTTTGTAAACAGACATATCGTATCGTATTGCAACAGTCGTTGTTTGTCCACTGTTAAAAACATAAGCCTACTCCATAAGGAGGGATTTTGTCAGTAGTTGCCATGCTTGGCATATGGATTGGCAACCGCAGTTAAGATTTGGTGATGTTTTAAAAGAAGCTACCTATTAATGCATAAAGTATTACTGTAAAGAGTTTATATAACTTTTATAATCCAATATATACTCTATATCTATTCAATTAAATTAATAATTCGAATAATAAACTATACCTAGTTATATTTGTTTTTAGATACGCAAAGGCGAAGGTCTCTTCGTTCCAACATTTAACATACACCGAGATCCAGAATTATTTCCGAATCCATTGAAGTTTGATCCTGAACGCTTTTCCGAGGAAAACAAACATAAAATTCAACCACTATCTTACATGCCGTTCGGATTAGGCCCTAGAAACTGTATTGGTATGTGTTTAATTTCTCTGCAATATTTTTAATAATTTCGCGGCACTACACTTTTTAAATGCCACAACACACACACACACACACACACACGCACACGCACACGCACACGCACACGCACACACACACGCACACGCACACGCACACGCACACGCACACGCACACGCACACGCACACGCACACGCACACGCACACACACACGCACACGCACACGCACACGCACACGCACACGCACACGCACACGCACACGCACACGCACACGCACACGCACACGCACACGCACACACACACGCACACGCACACGCACACGCACACGCACACGCACACGCACACGCACACGCACACGCACACGCACACGCACACGCACACGCACACGCACACGCACACGCACACGCACACGCACACGCACACACACACGCACACGCACACGCACACGCACACGCACACGCACACGCACACACACACGCACACGCACACGCACACACACACGCATATATCGTCCCTGTAAATGACTCACAATGGAGATATATGTAAATGCCTGCCCTCTAGTGCGAATGCTGTGTAACAAAACAAAGTGACTTTAACGTGGGAAAAGAAACATTAGACCTGCACGGCAATTTTTGAAAATATCAATAATCTTCGGTTAATTTGGGTTGAGTTTAGGTATTATTTATTATTTTTATTGTTTATCTACGTATACACATAAATCGAAAAAAACTGGGATATAACTGAATAGAGTAAGATAGGATGAAATGCATTAAAAGGAAAGAGTGTAGAATGGAGAAGAATGAAAGATAACAGGATAGGATGGTATGGTATGCAATGGATTTTAAAAGATGTAATTGTGTGGAATGGGTTAGAATAAAAGTTACATCGATCACAAGTAAATTTTAGAATCTCTCAATAGATATAGATACTGAGGGCCCTACCATGAAATATTTTCCAAAATTTCGAGTCCGAACGAAACCTAAATTTGATGTTAAAATTACATAATACATACCGTTAAAAAATATTAAAATATCGTTACTTTGGACTATTATGGTAAGATGTATGACGAACGAAATGTTAAACTCCATTAACTGGAACGATTTCGTTATGAACAAAAATACGAAATTGAGTCCAAAAATTGAAATTACAAAATTAAAAACTTTCGAATTTTACGTATGTCTTTTGCTTAATAATATTTAACAGACTGACAACTTAATAATCATATTATATTTTATATATATTGCGTATCTATATTTAAAGTAATTTATTGCTTTTTATGCCACACAGGTTCGAGATTTGCTCTCTGTGAAGTGAAAGTCATGTTATATCAACTGCTACAACATATGGAGGTAACTTCGTGTGAGAAGACATGTCTAAAGACAGAGCTCGCCACAGACACCTTTAACTTGCGAATCAAAGGAGGACATTGGATACGGTTGAAAATTCGATCATAGAGTAAATAAAAAAAAACAATGTTATAAGAAAAAAAAGGTTAGGCGTGGGTTCAAATTTATACTGCTTTGGAAATTGTACATTCACATATTAATTTACTAAAATACATATAACTGTTTTTTCAATGTAATCATTTCTTGTAAATTATATACATAACGATACAAGAATATTTTTATATTTTTAATATGTGCCTAGATTCAAATAATATATTTACTCGGTAGCGCCATCTACCACCCCCATTACTAATAAACTCTTCTCTCCCCTACCTACCTTCCATCAGGTGGGATGTGGTCACTTTGACTAGACTCCATAAAAAACCATTTATTAATTGCCAAGTATAATCATAAAGTTACAATCGGTAACTTTATGATATACCTATATGTTTAAAATAAGCTACTCTAGGTAGTGTATATATATAATATATATAAGTATAATATATATAAGTATAATATATATAAGTATAATATATATATAACAATAATAGTATAACCATTGTTATGTCTAATATATTAAAAGTCTGTTATCCAACATTATTTTTTGAATACCAGATTTTAACATATTCTATATATATAACATATTCATATATTATATTATATATATATATATAATGTATAACTTACCAGACATTTTGCGCCAGTCACAGCGTCTGCCGTATGGCCCCTTAAATAACTTCTGGATGCAGTCGAAACTACTGTCGGAAAAAAAAATATAATAAGAAAACAAAGCAATTATTAGCAAATTAACACCACCATATCTTTTTTTTTAATGAGTGATAATGGAATGGTAGCCCCGTTTGTGCCATCGGTATACACCGGCGGGGCATCAGTGAAGGATGATAGGTGAGGATGAAGCAGGTCAGTTAGCCCATCGTGACGAATTCATCAAGAATTGTTCATGATGGTTTTCAGGGGGAACCACGTGGAGGTCAACTTAATAGGACATATTGCTAGCAATGGAGCTGTCAAACCCATTGCTAACAATCCCTTTCATCCCACATCATTATATCTGTCGTTAACTATCCACTGCTGGACATAGACCTCTCCAATAAGAAGGAGTTTTGCCAGCAATTGTCACCCTTGGTAGGCCGGTAGCCTTTCGGTGATGTTGTAATAGATACAATACCTTGTGGTCCCGGCATAGAATGAACCTTGCTTTCTCATGAGTGTCATTGAAGACAATTAAGGGTACTTAATGGTCGAGGAATGCGCAGCAACGTTCCTAGGAACCACACAGAAGAGGACAAAGATTGCGTGAAAGAAAATGTATGAAAAAAGTAAAAATTTGAGTTAAAAAGTTTATATAAAAAGTGAGTGAGTAAATGAGTGAAAGGGAGGATGTGATTTCATTTTCTACATGAGTAAACCCGTGTAAATCCGGAGCGGACAGCTCCGCCAATATTATTATAAAGATGAAAAATTTGATTGCTTATTTGTAATGGATAAATTAAAAAACTACCAGAGGGAGACTTTGTACAAAAGTCGATTGCTTGGGTACCTTTGTCCCATTCGTGTTTCAACCGTGAAGCAGTTGTGTTTGCATGGCTGCGTTTCGGTTTGAAGGGTGGGATATGGCGTGAATTTACTGGGTACAGAGGAATAACACCTGAATCCTTAGGAATGGCAACGCATGGGGGGGGTATCATGGGCGAAACAGTATACTCTGTTATGTCCATGGTACTGCTCATGTCTATAGGTGACGGTTACCACTTTCCATCAGGTGGGCCGTCAGCTTGTTTGCCATTCTAAGTTGCATAAAAAAAAATTCAATAAATAAATATTGATAAAATAAAAATAAGTGCATCTGCTGTTGCATTTTATTCTTTATTCTTTATTCTTTATTGTACACAAAAGGTTATTGAAATGTAAAAACAAACATAATAGTGCACAAGGGCGAGCTTATCTCCAATAGAGATTTCTTCCAGCAAACCCAATATGAGAAAAGTGACAGTTCATTAGTAGTTACAGTCATACATGTGTACCAATCGACTTAAATGTTATAGTTAAAAATAAATAAATAAAATATCTTTACAATTGAAAAGACCGATAGGTATAAATAAAAATATATAAATAAAAATACAGAAAGTTAAATCGCTCACGAAGATATGTTGGTGCAATGGGATTATGCAGGATATTATAAAGAAAAGAGAGTATATGTAGATTACGTCGGAGCTGAACAGGAAGCCATTTTAGCTGTTTCCTGTAGTGAGAAATATGGTCAAATTTACGTAATCCAAATATAAAACGAATACAGAGATTCAGGAGACGTTCTAGCTTGTTCTGAAGTTCAATAGTGGCATCCAGAAAACAAACATCCGCGTAATCAAGAATAGGTAGAAGGAGTGTATGGCATATATTGATCTTTGTTTTGATAGAAAGAAAGTTTTGAAGACGTCTCAAAGAGTGAACGGCTGCGTGCATTCTTTTACTGATAAGATTGATATTCGATAACCAGGAAAGATCGCGATCAACAAGTACACCCAAATTCTTTACCGAGTTAACATAGGTAATTACGCTCCCATTATAGGTTACAGGCGGAATATTTGTAGAGTCCAGCATATTTAGCATATACCTGCTGCCGATAATAATGCATTGAGATTTTTAAGCATTAACAAGCAAACCGTGAGCCGTAGTCCACTCAAAAATTTGCTCAAGATCATTGTTTATCATAGCAATAGCGTGATTGATAGAAATAATTTCGAAACTGCGGTACAACTGCAGATCGTCAGCATAGAGATGGAAACGACAAGAGAGTACTTTAGTTAAGGCGTTAATAAAGATGGAAAAGAGTAGAGGAGAAAGTACACCACTTTGAGATACCCCCGCAGTGAGCTCACACCAATCTGAAGAGTCTCCATTCAGTTGGACGCACTGTTTGCGTCCTCTTAGATAATTATCAAACCATTCTATTACCGATGGAGATACGTTAAGGGAAGCAAGAATACTGAGTTGGATATCAAAGTCGACAGAGTTGAATGCATTACTAAAGTCTAATAAAATGAGGGCAGTTAGCTGTTTATTATCTATAGCAAGGTGAATATCGTCAATAACCCTGAGAAGAGCTGTAACGGTGCTATGTGCGGGACGAAAACCTGATTGAAATGGAGTTATTAAGTTATTTATAAAGAGATAACGCGAAAGTTGTTTATATACAATATTTTCTAGAATTTTGGAGAGGACTGGGAGAATAAAAATGGGTCGAAGTTCAGTGACGGAAGTTGGGTCGTTGGATTTAGGTATAGGGATTATAAATGCGTTTTTCCAAGCAGACGGGAATGAGCACGTTGTAAGTGAGTAGTTAGTTATAAAAGTGATTAAAGGGACAAGCTCATCAATGAGTAAGTGAATCATTTGTATGCCAATTTTATCATCTCCAACTGCCTTGGATGAAACAGAGAGGATATATTTCTTAACGTCGCACTCATTAACAATTTCGAAAGAGAAGGGATCACAGAGTGGCTTAGGCAGGTGTTGCAGATTAGCTAGGGTAGACTTTTTTGTACTCTCTTTGACAATGAGCAGTGGTGTGCAAAAATACTTATTCAGCACATTAAGGTCCAAATTAATTGGGCTACTTGGGATAGATTTACCAACGCCCAGTGACTTAAGAAGTTTCCATAATTGAGCTGGTTTGCTATTATCGATGGATTCATGGATGTGTCGTCTCTTAGCATCCCTACACATCCGATTGCAGCGGTTACGAAGTTTTTTATATATTAAAAGATTTTCGTCAGAAGGAAACAGCCTATACTTTCGTTTAGCTTTATCTCGCTTCACCATGATATCTCTTATAATAGGAGATAGCCAGGGTGCAGGGAGATGTTTTACTTTGACCCTCCTAATTGGGGCATGTTTATCATAGAGTTGAAGCAGAGCAAAACCAAAATTATCAACCATATCATCAATAGAGCTACAATTCAGTACACATGACCAATCAATCTTTTTAAAATCATTTTTGAGCGTCTCCAAATTAATCTTCCGAAAGTTACGTAGATCAAGAAATTTAGGTTTAGTTTTAGGGGAACGTATTTTATATTATAAAAATATTAAGTCATGATAAGAAAAGGGGGCGGGAAATTGGCCAAAATTGTACACTTTTTCTGGATTAGAGACTATTATTAGGTCTAATAGAGTGGGTGAGCTATTTGGAGGATGGTGAGTGGGCTTAAGGGGAAGTAGATGAAGATTTATTGAGGACACAATTGAAGAAAGTTTATGAGAGCGAGTGTCATTTTTAATAAGGCAAGTGTTAAAATCGCCTAAAATTAAGCAGTCATCACAAAGTGTTTCAAGTAGGGATTCAAAATTTTGAAAGTAATCTACCTGAACAGAGGGCGAGTAGAATACACCAATAAGGAGTTTAGAGTTATGGAAAGTTAATTCAACAAAAAGATACTCTGCAGAGTTAAATACCGTGGAGTCCGATTTATTTATAATTTTGCAAGGAATATCATGGCGCAAATATATAGCAACGCCACCACCTCCTCTATTTACCCGGTCATTTCTCAAGAGGTGAAAACCTGGCAATGCACACATCGCAGAAGGGAGTGATGGCTTTAACCACGATTCGGAAACCAATAAAATATCAATGTTTCTGTCACTGAAACCATTCTGCATGTCTATATAGTGGGCTAAAATACTTTGGACATTGATGTGAGCTACTTTAAGGTACTTGAAACAGTTATTAAATGATGAAAGAAGTTGGTCACGTAGAGTTACTGGTGCTGCCACACCATCCTCATCTTCGGCACTAAAATATTCGTCAAAAGAAGAATCATAAAGGTTTGTATAATCTAAGTAATACGATGTACTCATGTATAAATAAAAATAATATTTATATTATAAAAATATATCAAAAGTAAAACTAAATAAAAAAATACTTAAAATAAAATAAACAAATTAAATAATATTATTTAAAATTAACGCTGGCTAACTCTGCGTCACCTCAATGGATTTGCTGGGATCAATCTCTAATTGCATATATACATTCAATTAAAAAGCGGAGATAAAAACAAAAATATGCAAAAAAGTAGTGCTATTATAAAATTAAGAGGTTAGCTAAAAACACAAACAAATAAAATGCAAGTAACAATAACCATTGACATAACAAATAACAAATTCAACAAAAATAGCAACAATAAAAAAATAATATTTCAGGGCATAACTGCATGGTACATAGATCAGGAGTACAGTTCTAAGGATTTCAATACAATCATGACATTAATCCATCCGCAGTTGTTATTTTTGTTTTAAGGCAATGTTGCATAGATTGAAATCAGTAGGTACATATAATAAAATTGCAACTGATCGCTGTCTGTACATGGAGGATACATAAAGAAGACGATTATATGGGAGCTTTATGAACGCAATAGAACCCAAAACAATGATTATTAGAGTTTCCGTCAGTTTGTCTGTACGTTTGTTCACACCAATCTCAGAGACGGCATAGCCGATCTGTGTGCGGTTTTCACCAATGCGCCGTGGTTTGCGCCACTTAACATCCAACTATTTTATTTCAGTTTGTTCATAAATAAATAAATTATTTCAGTCTAAAAATCACATATAAAATGCCACAAAATAACCGATCAGCTTAATTGGTAGAAACCCTATGAAGGTATCTGGTTTGCAATTATCATTTAAGTATATAATATAATACAAGACCGGATTCATGAAGGGTTCCAGTGGCAATGATATACGGAAACTACATACATAGTTAAGGATAAAAATTAAGAAAAGATAATCCTTGTAAAAGGTGTAATATTATGTTCGATCTAGTCGTATGTTAATAATATAATTCTGAGGGTATAGATAAATAAAATATGGTATGTTTGATACATTGAGTGCAAAAGTTCTTAGTGACTTTGACAGATCAGATTATAAAGAATTAAAATTACGCCCATATTACAACAGAGAATTTGCACATATAGGAAAATTAAAAACTGATTAAACTACCTACATAAAAACAAATAATGTTTAGACTTTTTGCTGAGTTCTGTTTGATTTAAAATGTAAACTTTTACTCATAGTACCTCACATTATATAAAATTAATACAAAATATAATAATAAAATACAAATGAAACGTAAAAGCAGTGGTATAAATGAGAAAGCTACTTATTACTAATTCCTTGACGTCTCGTTGCAACCGTAGACGCAGTAGAGGTCTTCTTTGTGGCTTTATCAGCGCCTGTTGTAGCTTTACTTTGAATGGCGGCGATAACTGGGAACCTAATAGTCAGTGAACGCAATTCCGACATCTGTTCAATCTTACAACGAGTATGATCCGGTAGTAGTATTACCACTTTACCCTCAGCTGTCCAGCAATTCCTGACTCCAAAGTGCTTCCTGGCTTCCGTAAACAAATGTTGTCTGGACTTAATAAGAAATTCAGATACAGTAGTCTTAGTACCCTTTAGCAAGGTCTTTTTGTTCCATACTTCACTTCGAGAAGAGTAGTTAAGGAAACGGACCAGGATGGGTCGAGACTTTCCCAGTTTACTGCCTAAGCGGTGACAGACTGAAATATCACTAATACATTTATTTGTCACTTTTAACCTTTCTGAAAGTACCTTGACCACACTTTCCTTAACGTTCTCTTCAGGTGATTCAGAGATCCCATGTAGCAACAAAACCTTTCTTCGTGATGCCGTTTCATGCTGATCCAGGCCTAGAGTCAGCATTTCAACCTGTGCCTTCAACATACCCACAGCTTTCCACATAAGTGATTTGAAATCATAATATTCACGGGTTAAGGTAACAAGATATTGTTGCTTACTTGAAGAGTCGGATATCTGTTGTATACTTTTCTCAACCTCGCCCATCCGTGTCTGAAACAGCTGTACAATTTCATCCATGCTGGCACTTAATTTTGAGTACAGGTCCATTGTCACAGGTTAATAGTTATAACTACTACGTTTATAAATACAAAAAAGTGAAAGTTTATATAATCCCCGAGGAGAGCAGAGTTCAGCTAGCTTCTAACAAATTTTAAAGCATAAAACTAAATAAATACTATTTTTAAATAAAAAATATCTTTTAGAGCAAAATTTTTATGTTATGTATGTTAGACTACCCTATAGTTTTTTTAATAATGAATGTAATCATTACTCGACATAATACTATCACGCTTAAAAAATAAAAAAATAATGTTATCAAGTTGATAACATTATGTCGTATGTCATAAGCGAAAATCGAATGTCATCGTGACAATTTACGATATGGAATTTTGTTTTTGTTATTTGTTTATAATTAATTCATTAGGTATTTTATTATTATTTTTTTTATATTTTTCCTAATTTAGATAAAATGGTAATTTATTTCCTATTTAAAAACTCTTGCCCCTCACTACGATTTTCAGCGAGTCTCTTCACCTCGTGATACGACACAATGCCAACTCCTTCCTTGATCTGCCTGATGTAACTATGTCTTAGTCTCCCTCTTCCCCTCCTTCCTTCTATCTTGCTTTCTATTATAATGTTCATAAGTTCGTCGTGTCGTATCAAGTGTCCTAACATTTTTTTCCTTCTGACCTCAATAGTTTTTATAATTTGTCTCTGTTCCTTAACCCTATGTAGGAAAATTCGATCTATCCGGGGAGAAAAGATTGTTAGTAATGGAGAGGTTAGTCCTCATTGCTATAAATATGCCCTATCAGGTTGACCTCCGCGCGGTTCCCCCTGGAAACTATCATGACTAATTTTTCGTTGTATTTGTCACGATGAGCTAACTGACCTGCCTATTCATCCTCACCTGTCACCTCTCACTGGTGCCCCACTAGTGTATATGGATAGCGTGGGCGGGGTGACCATGCCATTTACATTGAATTGTGTGATTTCAGTGAAATATATTTTGTTTAATTGTTATTTAAACACATATCGGTTGGGGGCCTGGTGATCTGTACTACACTGGTTTTAACCTATTACAGACACCAGCTCCCTACAGCAGAGTTCCATATTATTTTAATTTTATTTTATCCTAAATACCTCATGTGTAAATTTAAATTGTTCGTAAGGAGACATAAATAAATTATTTTTATTATTTTCACCCATTAAAAAAAAGCTATTTATTCAGCAAATTTTCTGCTGCTGCTACATTCATTTTGTTTGTTATATGTTTTTCTTTTTATTCTAAATTCAAAGTAAAATAGTAATGTCATTATATAATTGTGTAACCTTCATTATTATGTTGTTTTGTCATATGTAACATGTATATATTATATTATTTTTCTTAAAGAGCGATTGTATTTAACTAATGATGTTATTTAAATGAAAAGTTTGTTTAGTGTATGTGTAAATAAATAAATAAATAAATAATTTTCTCCGTCCTTTTCCAGCACCACGTTTCAAAGGCTCATTAGTTTATCTGTTTCTTTTTGGGTTAGTGTCCAAAATGGTAATTAGATGATACATATGTGTAATAATTATGAATATTAAAATTAATTTAAAAAAAACTTGAAGTTACTAATGTGAATAAATGCGAGTAAAGTTTATCAACTAATAAATAAGTAATAAAGAGTAAGTAATAAGTAAAGAAAAGAGTATATTCCTTTTTAAAAGGCCGGCAGCACACCTGCAATGCCGCTGGTGTTGTGGGTGGTCATGGGCGGCGGTAGTCACTTACCATCAGGTGAGCCGCATGCTCATTTGCCCCATGTGTTGGAAAAAAAATAGTAATAACACAAATGCCTTTGTTTATTTATATTTTGTTATAAAATATATCTGATATCCGTAATAATTTTAACTATGTATAATAATTACCTACTCGATATAATATTGGCATCATCATGACATTACATTTTTTAAGCAGAATTTTGAAATGTTTTTTTGTTATTTGTTTTTAAACTTTTATATGTACCTACTTTACCATGTGCCGTGTGGTCCCTACACGTAATGGGTCACCCTATCCTTTTCAGTGGGCGTCGTAAGTCGCGACTAAGGGAACTTTATGGTTGAAGGATGGGCAGCAGCGTCTCTCTTATAACATAACTAAAGCCTAACTACGTTTGCCAATCTGGCTGCCAAGCGTGGCAACTACTGGCAAAATTCCCTTTGTAAGGAGGGTCTATGTTCAGCAGTGGACAGTTAACGGCTGATATAATAATAAAAATGTATCTCGTTTTTTTTTTTGTATGTATGTATATTTATATTTGTATGTATGTTTTGATTTTATATATTTGTATATTTATGTAATATTTGATATGTATGTGTAAATTATTATTTGCAACAATTAAATTTTTTTTTCACAGCATAATTAAATTTCTGTTTTGCCAAAGGTTGACTGTGAGAGAATGCTATATAGTATTAAGTCCGCCTTTTGTACCAGACATTTTTTTTGTAATGTGGTCAATAAAAAATAAATAAATAAATTCATCATTAGGGAGAAAGGGATCGTTAGTAATAGGGTCTAACAACTGCATAGTAATACACCCTATCAGGTCGACCTCCACACGTCTCCCTCTGGAAACTATAGTAGTTAACTGTGTTAACAGTGACATTCGTCAAGATAGGCCAATTGATCACTGATTTACTGGTTAAGCTTTTTTTTCAAAATGGTATTACTGATTTTGAATCCACCCTAATATTATAAATTTGGAAGTGACTTTTAATTTATTACCTCTTAAACTCAAACAGTCGACATGAAATTTCGTCACACATTAGTTTGGATAGAGAAGTGCACAGCGTCAGTAAAGTTTTGACAATACACTTATGTATAAGTAATTTATTTACTTTGGGTTTTTTTTTTATAGGTGAAAATGGTAAAGTAATCCTGCCTGCGCTAACGGGATACGCTGGCGGAGCACCAGTGAAGGGTGACAGATGAGAATGAAAACAGGCCAGTTAGCCCATCATGATGAATTCATCAGGAATTAACCATGATAGTTTCTGGGTGCTGTCGTAACAAATATACAGTCAGACAGACATACAAAATTTCAAAATAGTTAATTTTAGCATCTATTGGTCCTGTCGAGACAATATTATTTTTTCTTAAATATATCCCAATTAATATAATATAAATTATAAATTATTCATAAAATTGTAAAAACCATGTCTTTAACATTGTGAAAGATGAAAAAAGAATTACGAAAGAGATTTATCGAGCAAGAATGAATGGCGATGTCGGTAGGGGCCGCCCTAGACGGACGTATATCGACCAAATAGGCGACGTGCTGAAGAAGGGCCAAATTAAAAGTACCCGTTACCGGCGAGCGTGTATGAAAAGATTGATGAATGCGGAAGAAGTGAAAGATGTTTGTTTGAATCGAAGCATTTGGCGTTCCATTGTTTCTGCCTACCCTAATGGGAGACTAGCGTGACAGGTATGTATGTATGTATATTAATGAAATAATTGTGCAATTATTAATAAAAAAAAAATGTATAATATCAATTTGTTGTTTGTTTTTAACTATCTTTTTTCCTCTTGATAATTATATTGCGTAAATCAGTCACAGATAATCGTATAGATAGACCCAAAACATTGAGTCGTTATCTATTGTCTATAAATATGTGGAGATAATGGGCATTACTAAAGCATAATAAAATACTAAAGGATATTTTGGATCTACCTTTTAATAAATTAAATGCTATTTATTTATTTATTTATTTATTTAGGTGTAGCAACAGTAATACAATTCACATTGAATTCAATAAGAAATAACTACGATACAGAAAACTAGATTTTAAATTAAAATTACGGTCTTATTTCTTAAAAAAAGTCAAATTATGAACTTCACCGTCTTCTTTTGCACTTTCTCTTTAAACTCTTTAATTAAATGTTTATAATATATGTATATGTTAAGTATTACTTTATATTTCCTTAATTTATGAATGCACCGCCTACTTATTTCTCTGTTTGCCCAATAATTGACTGGTAGAGAACACCGTCCGGTGTTACGTCCACCAAATGTACATACAATTACATTATGCATTAAAATCGATAAATAAATAAGAAAATAACTAATTGTAATAGCTAAATTTTATCATAATAAATCAGACAAAGCGACATTTATCTTATTTTAGGAATATCAATATAAGGAAATTATAACTAGAGGATGTCTATACATAAAAGATATGAGAGGTCCTAATAAGGGTAATTAAAGCCAAAACAATAATATTTGGAATTATTATTTGTCCGTCTATTTGTAAAAAGCAACAGCTGTCTTGCTTACCTATTCTTCTCAGCTGCAACAGCGTTCTAAAATGGGCGATAAATTTATAAATGAATGACTATTCAAAAATGCTTATTAATAAGTTTACTTGAATAAAAATAAATATTTATTTTTATTGTATCTTTGTTTCGGCATCATGAAAAACCACTGTACTAAATTAGACGTGGATATATCTAATATATAAAATTCTCGTGTCACGATGTTTGTTACCAAACTCCTCCGAAACGGCTTTATCGATTTTCATGACATTTTGTGTGCATATTCGGTAGGTCTGAGAATCGGCCAACATCTATTTTTTATACCCCTCAATGATAAGGGTGACCCACCCCTAAAAATTTTTTTGCCTGCAATGCTTCATTCCTCTTTCAATCTTAATTAAATCCTAACACACTTATAGTGTTAGCTATTTTTGATTGAATTAAAAAAACGATTTTCTAAAAATAATGTATATGGCAAAACAACGTTTGCGGGGTCAGCTAGTATCATATAAAATAATGACTATTCAAAAATACTATATACCATATATATATATATATACATATATGAATATATCCACATCCAATTATATAAGTATCATTATATAATACATAGATAGATGGATACTCTTTATTGTTCCCTCCAAAAGATTATAATAGTAAATTTATCATAAACAATTACAATTATATATATTACATATATTGTACACCATTTTTTTTAATGGGTGAAAATGGATTGGTAACCCCGCCCGCGCTATTGGTATACACCGACGGGGCACCAGTGGAAGATAATAGGTGAGAATGAATGCAGGTTAGTTGGCCCACCATGATGAATTCGACAAGAATTAAACATGACGGTTTCCAGGGGGAACCGCGTCGAGTCAACCTGAAAGGGTATATTGCCAGTAATGGGGCTATTGGATCTCATTACTAACAATCTCTTTCCCCCTGTATACCATATTAACCTTCATATTCTTGAAGGTTTAACTTAAAAAC